ATTTTTAGTCGTTTGATTGATCTGATGATGGAAATGAATCCTTATTTGATTGATGAAGCATCAAAGTAAGCACTATTATTGTATCTATTATTCTAATCGTGTATTACATATCAGTTAATCAATTTATTAATAATAGTAGCAGTTCTTCTGATGAATTATTATCGGATGCAACTTCTGAAGATGTTGAAGATGTTCCAATGCAAGCTACTAATAAATACGGTATAAATAATAATTGATGACATCATCTTTAATATTTTTGACCAATCAACCAACCAATTCATCTTCCATCACCTTCTCATTATTTTTATTAATAAAGAGCAACCAAAGCAAACTTTAACAAAAGAAAGTAAAAGAAAAGTGACATCTCCATCGTCATCATCTGCCCGTAAAACAACAACAACACGCCCATCACCACCACAACCATCAACAGCGTCTTTTTCATCTACAAAATCTTCCGGTAAACGTAAAGTCAGTGTTTCTGTTCTCTCACTTTCTCCCTCGCTGATCTTTACCATGATTCTTGATGTTTAATTTATTAATTAAAATAATTATGTTGTTGGATTATTACGGACTATTGTAGGCTGAAGAATCTGTTCCTGTTGAAGAAGCCCAAACACAAAAACGTCGCCGTAAACCAACAACTGTTGTAAGTTTATTATTTAATTATCACTATAATTTTTATTATTATTATTATTATTATTATTAACCTCACGCCTGTGAAACTACTAAAAAACATTTGGCTAGATTTTTCAATTTCGCATTTACTTTTAATTTTCTTTTATAGTTAATGGGTAATAATATATCAAGTACAACAACTTCTATAGCAACAGCTGGCATAGACAGTTATGTTAGCGAACTTGGTGACATTCAATATGAAAAAAGGTTAATATTTATTTGTTGATTTGTTAATATATCTTCAAATCAAATATCTAGAAATAACTTTTTCTCCACAGTTTGGGCAGTGCTCGTTTTATGAAAACTATTTGTGGTCGCCACAAAGAAGGTCCCGTTGTAGTCAAGATATTTATTAAACCTGAACCTAGCCTATCTTTGTCAAACGTTGTTAAAACACTTAAAGGTAGGATTTTCTTATAAATGGATGGATGGATGGATAGATGGATAGATAGATGATAGATATTTATGATTTTATCGATTTAATAATAGAGGAGAGAGAAGCATTATCTGAGATTCCAAATGCATTCCCTTATCAAAGAATAATTGAGACAGAAAAGGCTGGATATCTTATCAGACAACATTTTTTTAACAGTCTCTATGATCGTAT